CAGCATTGTTGCAAAGAAGCCTTTGTTAAATGTATATTTTCATTGACCTGAGTATTTTTTACGCCTCTTACAAGACCTCTTACAAGACATTTTGTTAATCTTCACACATTTAGAGTGGGCTATCCTGTTATGGGTTATCAATAATGTGAAATTATTTTGTGCTATTAATTTGGTGTCTGGCATTTTATCGACTTTTGTGTGCGAAGCACAAAAAGGGAGTCTTTGCAATTAGTGTGTCTGTCTGTGTCTGTGTGTGTGTGTGTGTCTGTTCCACTGATACCTCAAGAACCATACATTGATTTTTGATGAAACTTGGTGCATAGATGCTCTGGGCCAATGCGCAGATTCGATTAGGTTTTGGTAAAAACCCATGCATATTAATTTCCTATTTTTGCATGATAATTAGCTGTTCCATGATTGTTCCACTGATATCTAAAGAACCACTCATTGGATTTTGATGAAACTTGGCACATAGATGCTCTGAACTAATGCACAGATTTGATGAGTTTTGGGTAAAAATCTGTGCAATATTAATTACCTAATTTGCATAATGATTAATAAATTTTTGGTTTTTCCACTGATATCTCAATTACTAATCATCACATTTCAATAAAACTTGGTACATAGATATCATAGGACACTGCACAGACCTGATATTTGTTGGGGTAATATCAGTACATATTAATTACCTAATTTGCATAATTAATTAATTTTCAGCTTTTGATATTTCAAGTAGTAATCATCACATTTCAATAAAACTTGGTACATAGATGTCATAGGACACTGCACAGTTTTTAGTGTAATACCAGTACATATTAATTACCTAATTTACATAATTAATTTTCAGCTTTTGATATTTCAAGTAGTAATCATCACATTTCAATGAAACTTGGTACATAGATGTCATATGACACTGCACAGACCTGATAGTTGTTAGGGTAATATCAGTACATATTAATTACCTAATTTGCATAATTAATTAATTTTCAGCTTTTGATATTTCAAGTAGTAATCATCACATTTCAATGAAACTTGGTACATAGTT